GAGGTAGTACTCAGTAAATGCCAGCTAGTGTCACCACGGCATTGGATGTAAAGAACCAGAGCGTCTTGTTAGGAGGAGAGTCCATGTGGAAGTCCATCCACCACAGTGGACTATAACACGCATAGTTAACCTGTCCTTTCTCTTTGAAGTGGCCAGGCCCTGGTTTCTACTGTGCCTCCAGGTACGCAGGAGAACAAGTTACCCAAGATCCACATCCACGCAGACCAGAAAGACAGGAGGCAGACAGCCGGGTTTGGGGTGACCCTCAAAATGGGATAGATTCTCAGCCTCTACCAGACGCCTTGCTAATTACCAGGAAAGGAGCTTGCAGCAAGCAAAAACAGCTATTTCGCTAACAAATTAAAGTCTGAACACTACCCATTGTTTCTCACTGAATGCCTCCTTCATGAAACCTTCCACTGATACTTCCTCCAAACAAACGCCTAACATAAACAAACAAACGACAGAAAGAAAACAGCTTATAAAATTACAATGTGCTTTGTGACAGCACTGCTGGCTTTCAGACTCATGAAATAAGAGCAATCCAGCAGCTCTTCACTAAGGGAACAAACAGAATCCCGCCTTTGTAACAGGCCCTCCAAAATGCCTTCCCTCCACATGAAAACACTGCATTCCACACATGTGCAAAGAGAACCTTGGCTTCCCACTCAACTCCCAGCCATCACTGCAATTATCACTGTCACCAAGAAGCCACTGAAGCTGGAGCTTTGGCCATACCACTGAGGGACAAGTGCTTTTTGAGGAGCCTTGGGCCGTGATTGAATTCACCATTCACTAGAGTGCAACAACAAACAGCAATTACTTCATTTTATTCTAGAACACACCCTTGAAGTTATAGGAGGAGTCTACTGGTTTTAATATCACAATATCAGTCTATTTATCTTTTTGTGGGAACAATACGCAGCTAGCGGGAAGGCAGCAACATAATCGTACAAGTTCTCTTTTGGTTCTCAAAGGTGCAGAAAATAAGCTCATACACTGAAATACCTGTGAAATAAGGCTAAGTGGATGGCTTGGCCTTCTCCTGGAGCCACTGCCTGCCTGTGGGGCCCAGCCTCAGAGCACAGCCTGCCATCTCTCCTCCCCTGCTCCACTGGGTCAGCAATGTGGCTCTGAGCAAAGCCCTCTGCCTCCCTAGGCTTCCATGTCCTTATTTTTAAAATAGGGATAATGAGACCTACTGCAAAGCACACTGGGAAATTAAACAAGATAGGTAAAGGTGTTTTCTACCACAGAGTGAGCTGTAAGCTGCAAATAATTCTGAGACATTGGAGGAAATAAATGGCCTGTAGACACAGTGCACGCGTGAGCAAGCGTCTGCCAAGGTCAGTCACTCACTGCTTCCTGGGTGACCAAGGTGGCCGGGGCCACATTAGGGTAAAACTACAAGTAAAAAAACAGAGACAAGGCATGTTGCCATGAGTCACTGAGTTAGAGCCTCAGAAAAAGGAAGGAATTCACAGTTATCAAGAAAAGGATACCTTACCTGGTCAACTAAAGGAAATTCTAAGTATGCAGCAGTCTGATTATGGCACAAACTTGTCCAGGAGAAACCAGCCTGATAGGTCCTCCACACTAAGGGTCAATTCCCATTTACTCCCTCAGGAGCTTGCAGGAAAGGAAAGAGTGCCGCTGGGCTCGGGGAGGAGCAGCTTGAGAGTCAGATGGAACACCCCAGGGCACAAGAACAGAGGTGACGCTGAAGCCAGGTTTCTGCTCAGCCTGCCCTGGCCTCCACCACTTTGCCTCTTTCTACACAACCCTTATTCTGACCAAAGTGCACCAGAATGCATCTGGCTGAGTGCATTCGGTCACCCTTGCCCACATGTGCAGCCAGGCTCCCTTGAAGCAACAGAGACCCTGGTCACCTTGGCTCACTGGCACCCCATTTTATACAATGACAGCGGTCAAAGTTTTTTGAGAACTGCTTGTGCATATCTGTCCCCTCCTCAGTTGATTATAAACTCCTGAAGGGAGGGCCATCTTGAACGCTCCCACTCACCCACTCCTCACAGGGTGCACACTTACAGAAGTGATCTGGGAAATGTCTGTGGAACTATATCGCTCTCAAAAAGCAAGGACAGAGTGCCCCATTGTCCCTCCCCAAGCTCTGCAGAGTTTAAGGCCCTCGACCTAAGGTGGCTAAACCTTTCTGCATCCGGCTCATTGAGATATGACATGAAACATTTTCAGATGTAACCTGGAGATGTTTGCATGACCCACCTGAGGTGCCATGAGTGTCTACAGTACAAGATGGACTTTGGGAAGAGCCAGGAGAGCATCCAAAAGTCCCAGTACAGGCAAGTACACTGCCCAGGGGTGGAACACCTGAGTGACAAGCTTACACTCATTCCTGACAACAGCCAGTGGTGCCATCCTCTGGCCGCTTCTCCAAGGAGATCTGGCAGTGATGAAGTTTCTTCAGAAACTTGGGCAGTACAGCAGGAAACGGGCTGGTTTGAGAACATCACAAGAGCTAGAGATGCATTATGGCCTCAGTAAAGGTATGTTCAGTCCTCGAATTCCCCTGGAATCACAACAGTGGCCATCAGGAGAGAGGGAGGAGAGAAACAAGGCCCATCCGCCACCAAGAGGTGCAAGTCAAAGGTATCACTGAAAGCAGGGACAAAGAACAAGACTCAAAACAGCACCTTCCTGGCAAAAAAATGCCCAGAGCTAAAGTCTCACCAGGAATCGGAGGGCTGCAATCTGTACCACTAGGACACCATGCAAAATTCTAGCCATCTTACTTACAACAAACTTTGGAGCTCAGCCCCACAGAACAAAGCTCCTAATCCTCAGATAAACAGGCTCGTAAGCCTTTGTACTGGCAGAGTACATCCTACCATCACCAGCATGGAAAAGAGGACACCAAAGGCAAAGTCGTCTATACAACGATGGTGTACCAAGCCAGTGACTCCACCATCACTTTTAAACAATGCACTGGTTACATATAAACTGGAGAGTAAAAGTTGTCATAAGGAAACTGAACTAACTCCACCCACGCTTTGAACAACAGATGTGCAGTACAGACCTGTGACGTTCCAAGCTGGGCACAATGGTAACCCCTGGTAAAATTACAGTGAAATGGACTTTCCAGAAGAAAAGTGACCAGGCTTAGAGCAGCTGACCAACAAAGTGTGAATTTATCCACTTTCCATTCTTAAAAGACCTCCTTCTCCACGTTCATATCGTATACAATTCTGATGGTCAAAATTTAGTCGAATTTAAAATGAAGAGAATAGCTGGAGTTGGGCTGACAGATTAGAAAAAATATTTGACCTGGAACTCATACCGCATGCAAAAACAAACAGAAAAAGATCATGTGTAAATTTTATAATCAGAGAGCAAGAAGTTTTATCTTAGAATGAGAATCAGGCCAGAAGCTACGCTAGAAAAACAAAAAAGGCTGAACTCAAGGAAGGCTGACATATCTGGTGGAGTAGAGACGAGATGGAGAGCATGCCATTGCAAACAGTGTCTCAACACTGGGAAGATGGCTCGCTTATCACAGGCACCAAGGACTGGTCTCCAAAATAAAGATGTAAAAAGAGTCAGCACATGGCAAAATCCAAAAGTCAACAGGCAAAAGAATACAACTGGCTGATAAACAGGTAAAGGCACCGAAGTGCAATACTAACTTTTTTTAGAAGAACATTTTTAACACTGAGATCAGAAAATTTCAGTTGGTGAAGACGACAGGCTGAGCCAGGCATCACGGACACCATACATGGCGCAAACCTTCTTCAGGGCTGTCAGCAAGACCTGCCAAAGCCCTCATGGTGCATGTCCCTGCCATGTGGGAACTACATTCCTCGGAATTTACCTCACGGAAACAGTCATGTGAGCCTCTGGGCAGACATTTTATTAGTTAGTAACCCAATACCAATGAGCACCGACCTGTTCTTCAACAAAGAATGGGTTCAACAGTTAGTGCGTGCAAAGCTGGTCTACGGGAGTAAGAAGGGACCACCTAACTGCTGCAGTGAAAAGACACCTGCCACATACAAGTAACTGAAGTCAAAGGCACATGCATGTGACTTGTTAAAATTCCGTAATTTAAGTATGTGTAGATTTATACTGGCTGCCTGTGAGCCATGGGGGAGGGGGGACAAAGGGAGGAGCACTACATTGTATACGTTTCTGTGTTACATGAAATTAAATAAATTTAAAAACTAAATTCGAGTTTTGACCAGCTTGAGGATGCCTATGGTCTGAAGGGCCTATCACGACCCTGTAAGCATCCTTCAACATGCTCACAGCCCCTCACCATGGTCCCAGAGCTGCATCCTCCAGGCACCCTCTGCTCACATCACCATGAGAAACCCCAAGAGTGGCCAGGCTCAGCTATTTCCCCACAGCACTAAGAATGAGAAAAGGCCAGAGGGCCTCAGCTGAGTACAGATGGCTCTTACTGGCTAGCTGGCTGGTAACAGTGAACACATCACCCACTTGTAGGCTCCTTCACGGACCCATCTCATTTCCTGCTGTTACAGGAAGTGCAGATCTGAAAGGGTACAGGTGATGGTCCCACCCACCCCTCCACTGCCTTCCTCACAACAGTCCTTTTCAGTGTGCTTAGGCAGTGCACACCCGTCATGTCATACTCCCCCAGCACTGCAGCCTTCGTCAACCTTTCTTCTACTAATACAGTCACATGTGTCCCCTTCACCTAGGGGAGCCTCCATGTGGGTATGTACAAACCAGTAGTGAGGAGCATTCCCTTCTAAACACATGAGGGGACACTTAGGGAAATCACTGGTGACTCCATCTAGAGCCCCATTTAGGCAATTCCAGAGATCATTGAGCATCTGTGAGCCTCACTCACCATATCTGCTACAGAGGCATGAGAAAACCAAAACACCACCAAAAGACTAGACACCATCTCTTACAGAACCATTAAGGGGTAACTTGAGTGCACTTTAAAAGCCAAGGGCTGTCTGGAGGCCATGTCTGTGCTCTGGCTGCTGGCAGCTTACCTGAGGCAAATGTAGGGTCTGCTCACAGGCCTGGAGTGAGATCCTGCAGGAGAAAAAAGATCTGCTCAGACTCCAGGAAAATCTCTCCATGGCAGTTTTCCACGTGTGGTCTGAGACCCCTGGGTGTCCAAGCTGCTTACAGGAGCCCACTTCACAAACGACCCCAAGATACTAGTTCTGCCTCCCTCTCTCCTCCCCTCAGTGCGCAGCGGAGCTTCCCCAGGGCTGGGAGCAGGCAATGCTGCAAAAGGGACACAGAAGCTGACCCCAGTGACCGCTGTGAAGCCAGGCAAAGGGGTCTGCAAAGCAGAGCACAATGCCATCCTGATCAATGCTGCCTTTGTTTTGGAGAAGTTATTTCCATGAAATGATACTTGTAATACAATGGGAAGGGATCACTCTTACTTTAACAAATACTTTGAAAACTTCTCAGCTTTAATTCTAACACGGGAGTACCTGTAAGCTGCATCATTCAATGATTTAGGACCTGAGTCATTTCTAAGTGTCCAGAGGAACCCTTTGAGACTGCTGCTCTGGGAGTCGATCTGGGCGTGCCACATCGTGTTAAAACACACCTGCTTTTGGTGATGACGGAAGTGGGCAGTGTTAGGGGTGCAGTACTACACACGGCACACACTGCCAAATACTTCTTCTATGTTATTTGCAAACTCACACCGCTGTAAAGGAAAAGGGGTTATCTATCAGCCTTTCTGTTCCACGTGAAGAGATCGGCGCTCTAAACAAACCGCACTATACACCCAGTACCAACTGTGAGGCTAAAAATTGCTAAGAGATGGATGACCTGGCCCAGGGGAAGCAGTCAGAGTACGCTGTGGATTCAAGTCAGCCTGGTCCTGGGAGCATAAGCTTCTCTGCACTTCAGTTTTAAAAACAGCAGTTACATGAACTTACACAAACTAAAGCATCCTGGAGCCCATGCTCCTACTTATCATGGTCATCCTCATCAACAATGTAGAGACACAGCTCAGTTGAAGCCAAGTAACAGGGGCTGTAAGGACAGCATGGTCCCTAAATCCTGCTGTGCCTCCTGTAACAAACAAGACAGACCCTGTAAAGGAGGGCACCCCAGCCAGCCCCGTCTTACACCTGTGTCCTGGCATAGAATTAATAGCACCCACTTTCTCTTAAAACGATACAGGGTCACCTGCCAAGAAGGCCGTAACTGGCCTTGGTTTTCACAAGCCCATCTTTTTCAATCTGTCTCCATCTTTATGAAGGACTGAAACAGCTGACGAAAAGTTACTTGTAAACCCACCTCCCCCAATTATATCTGAATTTAAGATTACATGCAGGGAAAGATTCTCACGGACAATATTTACAGACATATACCAAATTGTATCCAATTCTACTCAATTCAACCCAATTCTGAGGTTAAAAATTAAAATATAATGTAATGCCACCCCCGAATTAAACACAGCAACATCACCGGATCTGGCAATCTCACTTCTCGGCAGAACTGAAACTGGGGTCCTGAAGTATCTGTACACCCACTTTTGCACCATTCGTAACAGCCAGGAGGCAGAGACGAACCAAGGGTCCCCTGACGGATGAATAAGCACAGTGTGGCCCAAGCATACAATGCAAAGTTATTCAGTTTATGCAGGAAGGAAGTCCCGGATCTGCTACAGTATGGATGAACCGTGAAGACAAGCTAAGTAAAATACAGCAGTCACAGAGGACAAAGGCTGAATGGCTCCCATTAAATTAGGTCCCTAGAGTGGGCAACTTCATGGTCATGGAGACAGAAGGTATATGCTGGGTGCCAGCATCAGGGAGTGGGGACAGAGAGTTATTTGCCAACAGGTGACCAAGAGTTCTGGAGTTGAATGGGGGTGATGGTCGCACCACAATGTGAACACCACTGGACTGCATCTTTGACCACGATATAAACAAAAAGAAAACGAAAAACTCAAAGTATCTACCCAAAAAGTTCTCTAGCATTATGTGACCAGGGGAGAATTGCTGCTGGGCCTGTCATATGCTGTGCTTCCCATCGTCACTGGCAAATCAAACCCAAGCAAGTACTCATCTGTCCATCCCTCCATCGGGCATCCACTCAGCAATGGCTCACCAACCACCTGAGCTTCCAGCTTCTGTGCTGGGATGAGGGCACCATTTGCACATCACAGTCTCTGCCATGGGGGTTACTCTGGATGCACAGAGCACCCATCTGAGAAGTCTGCACAGGAGGCGCCACTGCACTGCAAATGACAAGTCTCTCCCGCAACAAAGCACTATCGTCCATAATTTAAAAAAAAAAAAAAAAAATCTCAAACCCCCGGAAGCATCAGTGTTTCCCTGAGTTTTAGGATCCAGTTTTTCCTCTTGGGAGGGTTTTTGTCCAATACTTTTTCATGTTGATCTGCCAAGAGACCCTCCATTTAATCTACAAGAGAAGTCTAGAAAGTCCTGCTGATTACTCTGTCTGGGACTGTGTGTTCTGTGGTTAGCCCCTTTTCTAAGATGGTGACTTTACTGTAGGGCCCCCCACACAATGAACTCCCCCTGTGAAACCACCTTTCCTTCCTTTGATACAACAGACGTCCTGTAAACACGCAGTGCCCTACTCTCTCAGCTGAATGCTTTTGTTTACTGGCAGGAAAGGAAGCCACAAATTCTCCAAGTAGCAGCAGGGACTCCAGAGCCTGGCTTCACTTCCTACTGGACAGGAGGCTTATATGAAGCACTGACTATTATATTCTGCCATGTTTTGGCATGAGAGGGAAAACAGTGAGTTCTCAGCAAAGTCAAGTCTTCCCAAAATACATAAAGAACCATGTACTGGGATGCAGTGCGGGAAGGATAGGAAGGTCCCTGATTCCGTGGTTTATTGGTATAGGCTCAGGACACCTTCCAGGACGCAGGGTGCTCTTCGTGCAAACCCAACATGCAGACAGACAAGGTCCAGCTCTGTGTTCTCAGCAGGTCTCTCGGTGAAGGGGGTTCTGAGAAAGTGCTGCTGACAGTGTCTTTCCACTGTAAGGAATGAAAATGTCTGGGCTAGCTGCTTCTCTGCCCTTTGATAGGTTGGGGCTGCTGATACTGGGGGAAAGCTAGCACCAAAGGAAGGCTATATTTGTTTTTGGTTTTAATTTTAAAAATTAAAGTTACTTTTTGAAATAGATCTTTTCAAGGTGCAAAGCCAGGTGTGCCAATCCATGTCCTGTCCCTTGGCCTGTGGCTCTGTGAGCTCTGGTAACCTGCACAGAGTCCGCCTCCTTTGCCACCTGGCCAGTCAGTTATGCCACCCCATCTCCTTCAAAAGTCCTAGATGTACCTGCGTGAAACAGGAGCAGAGGCCAAGTGCCAGTCTTCAAGCCTGGTCAACTTGCCAGCCAGCCCCCTAGGGCACCCAAGCCCCATCCATACTTCGAGAGGCAGGCCCTGGAGAACACCAGTGTGCAGCCAGTGCTAGATGCAGATGCCAATCACACCAGGGAGCTTCAGGCCACAGGGATAGTGCACAAACAACAGCTTGTGCCATCCACGCCCAGAAATGCGCTGCACACAGGCACCTGTCCACCACACCCATTCCACACCTGACCACTCACCAGTGTTAGCAGTCAAGTTTACTGTTTCAGGTGTTTGATTCAAAGCACACAGACCAGGGCCCTCTAACCATTTCCACGGTGTCTAAAGGTCCGCTTTTATACAGTGTGGAAATCAGAGATGAGGTGTTGGCCAACTGTAAGGCAAACTGCATACACTGAGCAAATGCCAGACCCCTTGCAAGAGTCCAATTCCACTGCAAAGAGGTCAGAGCACTGAAGAATTCTCACAGACAGCTCTGAGCTCCTTGGAAACAGCCACGTGCAAAGGCAGTGTGGTATGACATGAGGCACGGCCATTGTTCTAGTGGTCTTTTAGGTAACAAGGAGGAAGAAGGAGAAAGAAACTGGATGTGGGGCCCTTTGAAGCCATCTTACAGTCAACAAATACTTAGGTAGTAACACAGCATATATGGTACAAAAAGCTGACCATAACTAAGACACATTCTTGGAACCAGATCATCACTGCCCAATGGGAGTGAGGCCAAGCCTCCCATGCAAGAGTGGACCAAGTGTCCACACTCTGTACTGGAAGCAATGTCCTGGAGGACACTGCCAGGCCAGCTTAGAGGAGGCTACCAGATTTCACCAGGGAGAAGACAAGACAGTGGGCAAGGAAGGCTAGCTAGAGGAGGGGACACAGGGGCAGCTGAGCCAAGGCAAGGGTGTACCCGTCACCCTAAACTCTGTCAGCGTGGCGCAGGCCACCTTCTAAGTGTCAGGAGACCACTCCCTAGCCCAGCTCGGTCCTGAGGAAAAATCCAGGGTTTGGATGCCTACTCCTCACACTGAGCGCCCTCTCAACCACGCATTTGACCTCCCACAGTGCCCTCTCAGCCCTCAGCACCTCACACAGACCCTTCCAGTCCTATCGCTTCTCCCGCAGCGGCCCCTCAGTCCTACACCTACACTCTCTGAGCTCTACAACACTACACTCGACTCCTGTCAGACTCCAGACTCCAGAAGGCCAGGGGCAAGGTATGACTCAAGATACACAGCTGGCACTAATCACAGTGCTCTGCACCCAAAAGCACACAGAAATAATTTCCAAAGGGAAGCAGAAGCAGGGGAGGCAGGGAGAAAGAAATTAGAGGAGAGAAGGGAAAAGGGGAAAGAGAAGAAAGGGCAAAGCACACCGGGCTGTTCCGGAGACCCGCAGGAACGCAGCAGAGGGCAGGTGGCCCAGGATAAGCAGGTGTCTCTGAAGGAAAGAGTGGAGCTACTTCCGTGAGGGAATCCCAGAGAAGAGGCTGAACTCTGTGAAATGGCTGCTGTTCTGCCATTTCTGACCTAAAGACAGCAGAAACAATGAATCTCTGGGGCTCACCCATCCCTGTGCATCTCCATTCATCACTTACTGGCTGTGAAGCCCGTTTTCCCCAAACAACCACCACCCTAGGCACAGCCCACAGCACCGGACTCAACGGTGGACAGCTTGCCCCTCCTTGGAGCCTCCTTCCCACCCGTGTCCCAC